TAAAAACAGAGTGAATAGAGTGAAGCATTGTCGAAAATTAATTGAAAATTAAAAACTAAAAAGTTATTTAGCTTTTCTATCGTTTATAATTGAAACTATTTTTTGTTTACTTCTATTATAAATGTATAGAGGTATATATTAAAGATAAAAAGTGTAGAAGGAGGCAATCTTATTTTTCAGTAAAACGAGGAAAAGTTTAAAGAATAGAAGGAAGGGAAGAGGAGAGAAGAAAAGAGTCGGTAACAAAAAATAACGCTGATGACGCGCTTCATTTAATTTTTTTTCTGTCTACCCTCTTCTACTCCAATGTTTGATCAAATACCTCTCTTATCAAGCTCCACGCAGGTCTTTTCTTTTAAACAACTTTATTTTTATTTATCAATTCATTACTTTATTTTTAAAAAGCGTACTAATTCAAGTAACTCGTTTGTATTCGCTTATAGACAATGCAAACACGACCAAAAACGAATATTTGAATGAATTTTTATCTATATCCATAAAATGCAAATATATTCACAATAAATAATGCAAACGCGTTGGTCTGTAAAAAATTTAGATAGACTCTTCTACTTTACTGCTTCGTTATTTATTTATTTATTGAAAATACATGCTTCACTATTGCTTCACTCTGTATCTAGTGAACTATTGACATTTTTAAAGATATAAGCTCATCCCGATGTTACACTCATCAAGACCTTTCATTTAAGTACCCACATCAATTTTTCATATAATATATATAAATATATGAAAAATTAATGTGGGTACTCAAATGAAAGGTCTTGATGAGTGTAACATCGAGATGAGCTTATATCTTCAAAAATATCATTAGTTGACAAGATAGCACAGTCAGTTCTTAAATATTGACTTTTTTTAAAGATATAAGCTCACCCCGATGTTACACTCATCAAGACCTTTATTGAGTACTCACATCCATTTTTGATATATTTTTCATATATAGATATATATAATATATATAAATATATGAAAAATTGATGTGGGTACTCAAATGAAAGGTCTCGATGAGTGTAACATCGGGATGAGCTTATATCTTTAAAAATGTCAATATTTCACAAGATACAAGGTCATTTCTTAATTATGCAGGTCAAGATTTTTCCAACAATACCAAATTTAACCATAAAAACCCATTTTATCATATAAATACACCGGCCACAAAATATTTCTTATTCTCTTAATAATATAAATAACTGTTCAAACTTAAAAATTACTCGATAATTTGCCAGATAAATAAGATAAAAAGTCGTAACCTGCGATAATATTGTATTGATTAAATAATAAATATTAAATCAGTGAACTTGAGAAACTACAAATAAAAAAAAACATTCAATATTATTCTAAAAAGATAATATTACATGAAAGTGATATTTATCTTATCGTAAATATGAGTCAGTGTTTATAAATTGATTGGATAAAAAAATTTTTATTGTACGATAATATGGAAGTGTCAAAAGTGTTCATGCAAAAGTCAAATAACTTGATACTTATTACATTTAAATATTTTTACTTGTCACAAATTTTTAGTATATTATTCGCGCACTGAACAATTTAATATCCGGAAAAATTGAGAGAATTTTTAGGAAATAACTTAAAGCGAGGAAAAAATTTTAAAGAGGAATGAAAGATGTTTGTGATGAAAATTTTTTTACTCTTAGTCTGGTTTTCATCGAGGTATTTAGATCATAGTAATATGTATGCGGAGAAAGTTTAAGCCTGGCCATGGCAAGGCGTATTTTGCGTGAGAAAATTCAACCAACCGGAGGAGAATTAAAAAATATTTTAACTAAAATAGTGAATGTAATGCAATGCAAATATTGCGAAGTAAAAAGAATTTAGAGCATATAATATAACACGATCTAAATTATTTAATTGTTTATGTAACAGCAAAAAAATTTATGTTTAGAGATAAAAGCATTTTATTATTGTTATGCCTGATATTTATATTTATAATCTTGGCATATTACGTATACTTAAAATATTTTTTAATCATATAATATGTAATGTAATGTAACATATAACTTAAAATATATTATATGGCTGATAGTATATCTGACAGGCATAAAAAGAGTACAATGACTCAACTCTAATAAAGTGACGACGATAAGCTGCTGAGGATAAGAAAAAATAAAAAAATATAAATGTTATGAAACAATAAAAAGACAATGAGTTTTAGTTTAAGGAGAAAGAAAATAAAATAAGGAATAATTGAATGAATATTAAAATTTTAATATTGCTGTCTTTGATGACTTGAAATTTCTATCAATTTTAATTAAATCGACTATAAAAATATGAAATAATTACTTTATAGCAATAAAAATAATAACTTCAAATGTATTTGTTGTTCGCTCAGATAATTTCAAACTCTTATCAAGTTCAATTGAAGCGATAAAACATTTTTTATCGACTAATGTTAAAAATAAATATAACTGCTGATTCAATTTATTGATAATTAACATTTTTATTTTAAAGCTTATAGACTCGTATTTGAACAATTTTAAGAGAAATAAAAAATTGTGTATAACTATATAACTGTAACTTTTATTCACCTCATTTTTACTGATTTTAAATTGCTGATTACATGACTCAAATTTTTAATTATTCTCACTCGACTGCCCAATTTCAAAACACAGTAACTAACATTTAGAAATTTTAAAAAATTTTTCTTATTAAAAAAAAATTTGCCTGGCAAATTGATGAACAATTTGATTTATGAATAGAAAATACTTGAATATAATTATTTTAAAGAAAAAATGATTGAAATTAAGGTCTAAAAGTTGTAAAAAAAGGAGCAATATTAAAAAAAATTAGGTATAAAAATTTTGCAGTTACTGTGTTTTAAAATTGGGCAGCCGCACTGTTCTATTAGCTATAATCCAAATATTATTAAAATATCTATGTAGATCTGTTTATATTCTTACACAGAAAAAAAAATATTCTTGAATTAAGTATATAATTTTGAAGAACTTAATCTTCTTGATTTGAGTAGAAAAATTCTTTTACTAAATAAATTTTTCTTTATTTAAGGAAATTTTTACTTGATTTAAGAATTTTTTGTTTTGATTCAAGACAATTTCCCTCTTTTAAAATATTTTCTTGGTTCAAGAATTTTTCTCTCGAATCAAGTTAATTTTTTTTTCAGTATATAAGTATTTTTTACTCTTCTATTTTGAATTTTTTGCCATTCGGCCATTGCCTTGGAATTTAAATTAAACAACTACCTCATATTTGTATTCGACTGTAAATTAATATCGATATAATTTGGTATTATTCGTCCGCTTATTCGGTTATTATTTGAAACGCTCGGATAAATCTAATATTGACTGAGATTCGCCGATTGTAAACCATCATTCGATTATTTCCGAACAATGAACAAGATCGAATTATCCAATTTATGGTACAATCATGCGTGCTGGCTCGGTATGTTTCTGTTTAATAATTTAATTGGATTGTTTTTTTTTTTTTTTTACTAACCAATCATCGTTGTAATTTACAATTATAATCTCTAAGTCTTGAGAGAGTCTAAGAAAGGTCAATTATTCTTTTTTCGATCATTATCATTATCGTTATATTAAGAAATTTTTCTGTTCAATATCTTTCGATTTTTTGGTATTAGGCGTTTTAATCCCTCGACAAAATATCCCCAAGACTAATTATCACACAAAATCCATGATAAAAGGGCACAACAATACTTTAAATTTTTGTAAAGTCGTGCTACGAATATTTGTTCACGGAGAGAAAAGAATGGTAACCATTACCATGCTACATAGTAAGGGAAATTTCTGTGAGAAACCTGTGTAAATTTGCTAATAAAAATTTTAGAAATTGTGATATAAAATATAAACAATCACTTATTGGATGCGGAATCAAATTCTGAAAATAATGTTGTTGTTTTTTTTATTTTTTTGATGAAAATTTCAATTTTTTATTAACAAAAAACATAACCAAAATAAAAAATCTCAATTTATCGTAAATAACTCAATAACTATTGGTGATATGAAAAATCAGAAAACAGATCCTTAAAGAGGAGGAAATTTCTGAAAAAAGTCTCGACTCCCGGAACTCGCTAGCTTGAAAAACAATAATTTTTATTTAAATGTTGAAAATAGGATTCCGCGCAACTGCCGTCGTATTTTAGCATCGGCGCGGCCGTATTTTCACAAAAGTCGCGCGGAACCCTATTTTCGACATTAAATAAAAATTATTGTTTTTCAAGCTTGAGTTCCGAGAGTCGAGACTTTTTCCAGAAATTTCCTCCTCTTTAAGGATCTTTTGTCCGATTTTTTATATCACCAACAGTTATTGAGTTATTTACGAAAAATTAAGATTTTTTATTTTTGCTATGATTTTTGTTAATAACAAATTAAAACTTTCATCAAAAAAATAAGAAAACAACAAAATTATTTTCAGAATTTAATTCCGCATCCAATAAGTGATTGTTCATATTTTTATCACAATTTTTAAGATTTATATTAGCAAATTTACACAGGGCTCTCACAAAAATTTCTGTTACTATGTAGCATGGTAATGGTTACCATTCTAACATAGGAATAAGTTCTATTCTTTTCTCTCCGTGATTGCAATGCCATTAATAAGTGTTAAAATAAAATTGATATTTTTAACTTCCCGCTAAAAATCTCAGATTTTCAAAAATCGGGAAGTTATTGTTTTCACACCGTTTTGCAAAAATCGAGTTTTCATCAGATCTCGACGTTTGAAGGTCACAGGAAGCTTCGCTGACTACCCCCGCGATGCTGTCACTATGTCTATATGTGTGTGTGTGTGTGTGTGTGTGTGTGTGTGTGTGTGTGTGTGTGTGTGTGTGTGTGTGTGTGTGTGTGTGTATATATGTGTGTGTGACTATGTGACTCGCTTATAACTTTTGAACGACTGAACCGATCGGAACGAACTAAACGGCGTTCTAAAGAGTTCCCTCGATTGAGCCGTTTAAAAGATATTCCAAAAAAGCCACTTTCAAAAACGATTTTTTAACTTCCCGCTAAAAATCCGAGATTTTCAAAAATCGGGAAGTTATTGGTTTTAACCGATTTTGCAAAAATCGAGTTTTCATCAGATCTCGACGTTTGAAGGTCACAGGAAGCTTCGCTGACTACCCCGCCGATGCTGTCACTATGTCTATGTGTGTGTGTGTGTGTGTGTGTGTGTGTGTGTGTGTGTGTGTGTGTGTGTGTGTGTGTGTGTGTGTGTGTGTGTATATATGTGTGTGTGACTATGTGACTCGCTTATAACTTTTGAACGACTCAACCGATCGGAACGAACTAAACGGCGTTCTAAAGAGTTCCCTTGAACTTAGATTTCCTGAGAATTTAAACCGATTCGGACCGATAGATTTTAAGAAATCTTGAAAAATCTCAAAAAAATAAGAAAAAAATCATTTTCGAAAGTGGTTTTTTTGGAATATCTTTTAAACGGCTCGATCGATCAACTTCAAAAACTAATCCGCCCTTAAGCTTGCAAAACCACACCGATCGTCGCTAATCCGGTCAAAATTGGTTGATTCGTTCAAGAGATATCGTGAACGAAAGAAAATTGAAAAAAATGTTTTTTCGGGATTACTCCGAAATTTTTGGTTCGGTCAATCAAAACCTGGAAATAACTTATGAGGATAATAAAACTGCGTCGAATGCCGCCAACCGCGTGAAAATTGGTTGATCCATTCAAAAGTTATTGCGGTTTGAAAATTTCAAAAATAGTGTTCTATGAAATTTCTATCAGACTTTTGAGCTGGGAGAGCTCAAATGCATAGAAACATTATTTCTTTGAACTCAGTGAGCTCAAAATATCACATGAATTATATTTTGAGCTCAAAAATCTTTAAAATGTCATAAGTACAATTTTAAGCGCCCAGGAATGGAATTAGCGGGAAATTGTAGGGATGGCCTTTAGGGTGAACCGTTTTTCTAATTTTTTTTTTTAATTTATTGTTTCGAATTGTTTTATTAAAAAATTTAATTAGTTAAGATATTTTGTGCGGGGATATTTATTTTGGGGATATTTTGTCGATCAAAAATCATGGAACCTAATTTTTTATCTCTATAATTGACTAAAAAAAATGACCGTAATTTTCTACGTACATCTGATTTATATTCATGAATATAAAGCTTTTAAAATTAACAGTAGACACAAGATTACAATCAACATGACAAATGAATTGACGAAATCATAATTGGAAAAAAAAAATTCATTGTCATCCATCATGTGTCATGTAAGTTGTATTCAATAATATAAATATAATCCGAGAATATTTTTTAAACTTCAATCTTGATAGACTAATCCATTAAAATGATAAGTTGAAAATATAATTAAAATAATACAGTCATTTATTTCAGCCCTTAGACAATAAAAAATAAAAAATAAAGAAATGAAAGGGTAATAGTTAATAGTTTGATACCATCTGCAAACTCGTTCAACTATCATTATCATTATTATATTGATCGCAGTATCCCAAGGATTTTATTGTACTGGGGTCAATCGCCCCTAACGATTACAATGACTAAGTCTCTAATAATTGTAGCCAAGTACATCCTCTGTAAATATATCAAACATCAATATAAATCCCCTCGCGGATGAATGTGATATTAAAATTTAATTATAAGATCAGCACACCATAAAGATTGACAGTGACTATTGTTAGCGCTTACTTGCATTTTTAATTGTTTGAAATTGTATGTATGTATGTAACTTGTTCAATATAAAACCTGCATTGGCAATGAATAAATCAGTATCTTATTTATAGAGCCATCTATCTATTGACAGTCATTAGCTCACACTCGTGGTGTTTTGTTTTATTTCTAGAGAATTAATTTGCTTGACTAAAAAATCCACTTCCTGTTTTATAATTGCGTGTTTAAATAGTGCTTGACAGCTTTATGATTTATGTATTGTACGAACAAACCAAACGTTGTTATAATAAGATACACATGTAGATCTAAGTGTAAATATTAAAACAGGCAAACTAATTCTTTGATAACATCGTATCATTTATTTTTTATTTTAGTCATTATTTTTAATCCTGATATTAAGGAGATCCACGCGAAGTTGTCAAATTTTTAAAAGTTCCTGAAAATTTGTAAATTCAATCTACGTAGTCTCATAATTAATAAAAAAATTAAAAAACAGTAGGTTTCCGGAATATTTAATTAATTAGGTTTGAAAATTGTAATTTTTATATGTAGGTAAATGGAGATTCCAGCAGCCGTGTATTTGGCTAAGAATTTAATGCAATTAACGATTTTAAAAAAATTGTATTTTCATTGAATTTTATTAAAAAAATAATAAGCTTTCGATTAAAATAATAAAAAAGTAGCTTTCCGAACGTATTACCGAGATATTTTATATTTTTTATGAAAAATCACAAGGAACTTCCGTTCTATAAAGTCTTGTATTTGACTTGGCAACACCGCTTGCGCAGTTACCCGGCGCATAAGTAACCGCGGTTTTTTAAATACTAGAAGATTTTAGTCATTTTAGTTAGACGGTAAACATAAATAAATTTGAAGGTTAGGGAACTCTTGCCGGTGTTGTCAAGTGTATACCGGTAATTCAGAGTGCTATATTTTTTATTAGTCAATTAAATGTTGATAATTATTCAATGAGTAAATTTTTCGGAAATTTCCTCAAAAATGTTATTAATTAATTCAAAAATTAATTTTAAGATGCATAACAAAAGTATTTCTACGTATTTTTTTTTATAGACATTCTTTACACTAGAAGGGTACTTGGATCTCCTTAAATTTGCAATTTTATTTTATTAATTCTTTTATATCGATAAAAAAAATATTTTTCAAATAATTTACTATAAATATTTAAAAATAACAATAAATGTCAGGATGGATAAAATAACTTTTGGGTTAATTAAATTTCGTTAGACTTAATGTCCTCATAGCAAGTATAATAACGATCCATCTCTGGCTATTATATCTAAGCGTTTAACCACTTTCAAGAAAATTAAACGTCAAATATTAATGCAAACATTTATCGCCTCGAGTGATCTAACAAGAGATTATCATAAATAATATTTAACTTTAATTTATGTGACATTTTAAATCGAATTTATGTTTAAAAAAATCTTGAATATACTTAAAGTTATTACAACTATAAAAGTTCAATAGATATTTATATTAATAATAATAGTAATATTCGAGTTGTGATATTTCAGGCTTAGGCGCGTGTCACATAATGTGTGGGAAAACTTGTAAGAGGTAAAGTTTACAAGACCACGATCAATGGTAACCCTGAGACTAAGTGACACATTCGATAGATTCACGAGGGAATTAAAACAACATTAAATGTATGTTTTAATTCCGGTTGTCGGGAGGCGTGAACAGGTGCCGAATACTATTTACAAGTTACCTATGTTAATGTATTTGTATATACACGAATAATAATAATTATAATAAGTAAATAACATAATGTAAGATAGGAATAATAAATTTGTTAGATTAAATCCAAATACACGGAATAGAACGTAATACTATATTATTATCTTATACATGTTAATAATTTATTAGCTGAGAACTAGTCTATTATAAATTAGCTAAACTTTTTAATCTTTATCTATTAAATGTTATTTAGCATAAAGTTCATTTAAGTACGGCGTTGTTGCTATATATATAATAATAAGAAAATTTAATATTAAGTTTAAAAAAGTCTCATTTAGCCGCTATCAGGATCAGATTTCAGATATTCTTATTGTTTATTAGTTAGGCTTGTAATGTATATAATTTCATTGTACTTATTGCCTAATCTGTTGTGCAATTTTCTATTCGTGACAGTGTAAAAAATTTTTGTTAAATTTATTATAAATCGCGTGGAAAAAGTAATGAAATTTAATGTTGAAAAATGTAAATTTTTTATATATAAAAAAAAAAAAAGTGATACTTTATTACTTGCAATAAATTTACTGTTATGAAGTTTAAGATCTCATTATATCGATAAATATGAATTATCGGATTAAATCCTGATGAAATAAAGAGGAAAGAGTATTTTATGAACTTTATAAAGTTAAATGGTTATTAAAGTGCAAGATTAAAAGGAAGTTAATATTAAAATTTTATTTATAGCGAGAGATTGTGCTGATAAGTGTTGAGATTAAAAATTAAGTGAGATTATTGATTTTATAAAATATTTTTTCTGCCCTCCCGACGGAAAGTGGCAACTTTCTGGCCGCTGCGCTAAACAAAGTTGCCACGTTCCGGCTACGTCGAGCAGAAAAATAGTATACACACCTTGGCCAGTAAAAAGTAAAGCCTCAGACCACATGTTTGTCAACCTCGGCTTCGCCTCAGCCAACAATTACATGTGGTCTGAGACTTTTCTTATTTTACTGGCCTAGGTATGTAATATACTATTTAGGTATATACGTACACAAAAAAAAATTGAATAATTTTTAAACTAAGAAATAATCCTTGGTTTGAATTTTTCGTTTTAATTCAAGACAATTAAACTTTTAAAAATTATTTTCTTGGTTCAAAAATTTTTCATTCAATTCAATTTTTTTTTTTTCCGTGTAATTGTATAAAAAAAAAATTGAATTTGATTTAAATTTAACATTTATATTTATTCAAACAACTTTTATCTATTGTTAAAGCTATTTTAGTCAGAGTATTTAATGTCTATTTATCCAAAGTTTGTATATTTAGCGTAAATTATTCAAAGATAAATTTTGTTGTTGATGCAGTCCCGGCAAATATAGAGCGAACATGAAACCGGAATTTGTCCTTTAAAGAGAAAGAGAAAACGAGGACTTCTGCATAGCTGCATTAGTTTGTTTACGTATATTTGTGTAATCAAAACTTTGACGTGTAATTAAATACCCACAGACTAGATCTTGCATTTAATATTTCAATAAACCGCGTAATTGCTTCTGTAAAAATGAAATTTAATCAAATATTTTTTCATTCGATTTTTCATTAAAAATTTTTAACTAATAAAAACTAAAATTTAAATAACAGAATTATAAATTTATTATTTAAATTTCAATAAAATTTACATTAATGATGTTATTTACTGTTGTAATTTAGCGGACATAAAAAAATGATAAATATGCTGGGTAGCATAAATTTTTTTATGGATTTTAAAAATATTTTTCGCTTATAAAAATTCAAATATTCCATTTATGAGGATGAATCGCTCTTAAAGTAGCTGTCCAATAAATTCTAATACCCTACATAATACGCCCGCAGGTATATACATAACGTCCATCTTTTTTTTTTTTCCTAACCTAGCCTCACCTTTTCCATCTCTTCTATTTTCTCAATATACATTCCAGAGATAATAAATAAGTATGTCATGCGATAATTAATTTTTTTAAATTCGATAGTTTTAATTAAGCGATTTTTACGACCAAAA